TTGTGATACTCGGGGCCTAGTATCTGAGCTCTCTCAATAAGCTTTCAGGGGCACGGACATTCAATTACAAGACCTTGTGTTGGCCATGTCCTAGAGCATCCAAATGACATGGGCAGGTGTGACTTCCTCCTGCCTAGCAGTGATGGTGAGTGCCAACAAGTAAATAAGGAGCATTGATCCCAGTGTCTGAGAGCCTGGCCCCGGGTAGTGACATGTTCAGTATAAAGGTCGCCTCCTTCTACTTTCTGTGCAATAGTTGGGAAAAGTAGTATTAGCAATACTGGGATGAGTGAGAAGATTCAGGGAAAGTTAGTCTCGCCCCCTGGGAGATTCCAAGGTAAGCAATTCTACCCTGCGACTGAAAGAGGAGAGAAGAGAAACTTAGATGTCTTCATTAGGCCAGCTCAGACCCAGGCCTAATGGCAAAGGACCTAGGTTACCCTGAGAATACGGTCATTTCAGGGCTCTTTTCAACTCTTCACCTTCTAAACACCAGACTCAGCACTCAGTCACTGCAATGCAAAGATGAGTAAGACTGCTGGGAAAGAACTTCCCATCTATTCAGGGAACAAACATGTAAACAGGCACATGTGATTCATCTGTCATGAATCATAACAGAGGGAGAACACTGGCGTGGCTCTAAGCCCAGAAAGCAACAGGTTTTTTGTCTGTTCGAACACGTAAAACGTAGGTGTGCAAATGAACACTCCTCATTCACAATGACCTATCCTTTTTTCAGTCCTACTGCCCTGTCCCCTCTCTTCTTCTGCAAGGATATCAAATAAAGACCCACACAAGAGGGGGCACCTGGGTGGCTGTCAATTAAGCATCAGACTCGGACTCTGTTCATGACCTCACAGTTCATGGGTTCAAGCCCGGCACGGGGCTCTGTGCTTTGGAGTCTCTGCCCCTCCTTTGCATGGGCACGCACACACATGCTCTCTCTCTCAAAAACAAATAAACTTTAAAGACCCACACCAGAAAAGGCCTCACTGCTTGATACCAACAGATACACATGGTACCACTCTGCCTGTCTTTTTACTAAATTTGGAAATAGAGGACTTTTTTGCTCTTTCATTAAAAAAAAAAAATAAGTAAAAGATCAAATTCCTCTTTCTTTTTTTTTTTAATTTTTTAAAATGTTTATTTATTTTGAGGAAGAGAGAAAGACAAAGCATGAACAGGGGAGGGGCAGAGAGTGAGGGAGACACAGAATCCAAAACAGGCTCCAGGCACTGAGCTGTCAGCGCAGAGCCTGACACGGGGCTCAAACTCACAAACTGTGAGGTCATGACTTGAGCTGAAGTCGGACACTCAACCAACTGAGCCACTCAGGCGTCCCTCAAACTTCTCTTTCAAATAAGGCCCTGCCATCCTTCGAGGATATTGGAAAACAAAACGTGAGCCTCAGAAGGCAACTGAAATCTCACAGCTGTGTATGCATTGCTAGAATATAAGGCCTAGCAGGCTGCCGACTCGAAGCAGGCAATTCTCACACGAGAATCATACAAGTTTTACTGGTTATGGAGGGTGGGGGGTGTCTGCCTAATTACCTCATTCTACGGCTACAACTTTGATGCTCCTAATTCTATTTCAGGTGTGGCTTCATCCTCCTAAGTAGTAAGCCAAACCCTTGAGGTCAGACTGTTTTCCAGGTTCTGGATGTGGTCAATGCCTTGAAAGTGGGGAGGCTGGTGGGCATCAGAGGGAGTTTGGGGTGCTCTACACCAGGGCTCCCCGTCAAAGTCTTTAATGAGGGACATAGTGTGGAATGTTCTAAATGCCTTAAAAGGAAGCTCAGATCAATGGGAGAAGAGGGCCCGTTACATTTCCCTCACTGCCTTAAGGTCCAAGTTCTTTTAACCTGTCCTTAATAATGAGACCCTAGTCTGGGCGCCTGGGTGGCTCAGTCGGTTAAGCAACTGACTTCGGCACAGGTCATGATCTCACGGTTCGTGGGTTCGAGCCCCATGTCGGGCTCTGTGCTGACAGCTCAGAGCCTGGAGCCTGGTTCAGATTCTGTGTCTCCCTCTCTCTCTGCCCCTTCCCTGTTCTTTCTCTGTCTCTCAAAAATAAACGAAAGTTAAAAATTAAAAAAAAAAAAAAATGAGACCCTAGTCTCATTAGAGTTCCTGTAGACCCTGGGCAATAAGGAGACATAATCTCCTGCTGTGTGACTGCGGCCTCCGGACACTGGCTATGTTCTAGCTTCAGTGCCCAGGTCACCTCCTCCTCTTCCCAGCACTGTCTGTTCTATAGCCAAAGACCTGGGAGCTCCTCCAAGGTAAGCTTCCTGGGTAGAGGCTTTGTTTATCTAAGCCAGGGTGCCATTAACACCTGCAGCCCTACCTGCCTACCTCTGATTAACCTCAGCCAGTTCTAGGGTTTAGGTATGCTTACCAGCCAGGCAACCCTGAGGCTTTGGGGTCGACGTCCAACATGGAGTGGGGAACATGGAGGTTGATGGGAGAGGGGTGGAAGAAGGGTTCTGACCCATTCAAAGGCTCCGCGGGGCTACGGTGTCACTGGCGATTTTTAAGACTCCAGAGGCTCAACATTCATAGACAACGCCCCTTTCAACAAATTTCTCTGAAGTTTTCCAGACTTCTCACCAGGTCAGTGGTTTAGCTGGTGAAAGGTTAATGACCACGGAAAGTAAACTGGCATCTGAGGAGTCGATGGTTCAATCAACCACAGCTCCTGTTTCTCTGCAGACAAACACCGCAGTGCCATTCCCAGCAAGAGTAACCTGGGGACACTCCAAGAGCTCTTGACACCTGCAAAGAAACTAGCGTGGGCACCTGTGCAGACTCTCTCCAGCGCCTGGTTGGAGGGCTGATGCCCAACCCAACCTGAAAAGAAGTCTCCTTGGAGAGAAGCATCATTTTGCCAGACCCTGAGGTCTGAAAAGGTGAGGGAAGTCCACTAATTCCTGAGTACTCAGTGTGGTACTTAGATCAATCACTGGGTGCTGGTTAGAAGGGTAGAATCCCAGGCCCAACCGCAGGACGAACAGAATCAGAGTCTGCATTTAAATGCCATCTCCAGGTAATTCACATGTCTATTGAAGAATGAGAAACGGCAGTCAAGGCTGGAGCAAAAGGGTGCCAGAAATGACCTTTTCTTAGGTTAAGCTTCTTTGCCCTGGCAAGGAAGCAAGGTGAAGCGGGCTTTGGAGGAAGATTCCAGACCTTGGCTAACTAAGGCAGACCAGACTGGCTGACTTTGGCAAAAACAAGGTGTGTTTTTCCAGGTGACGGCCTGTGCCGGACACTCCAGACAAGAAAACTGGCTTTAGGTTCAGCGCTGCTAGCTTCCTTCCAGTTGGCCTCAGAAAACAAAGTTACACTCTGATCCCAGAGCCCCTTTCCCTCTCTCCCAACTAAAGACCTTCAAAGGCAGGGAGATTCGCTGTGGTTTACCAAAAACAAACAAAAAACCCATTTCCCAGTCCAAGGTGAGAAGTAGATCAGAGTGCCCTGTAAACAGTACCCCTGGCCATGGCTTCCAATCCGACCTGTCCCCATGCAGCAACAAAGGGTGCAAAAAAGGGTGCCCGAGCCTTTAGGGCTGCCCCAGTGGCCCCTCTGAAAAGATCAAGCAGAGATGCACACCCTCTCTTGAAGAACCCCAAAACTGTCAGGAAAGATCCTGGCAGACACAGTATAGCACAGAGAAACAGACCAAATGGACTACAAAAAGAACTATAGCATGGAAAGAGAATTTGAGTCAAGGGTGGACACAAGGCTCGCTGAGAACTTTTCCTTGGATCATTTTTAACAAAAGAGAGAGCATTTCCCCCCTCTATATACTTGGGTACTATTTCTCGTTCAGTCTGTGAAAACGGTGTGACACTGGACAAGGGACGTGTGTTTTCGAGTTTGGGGCCTCGATGAAACAAGTGCATCTGTGATCCCTAACAGTTCTAACGTTGGATGTTTTCGATCAAACTGCCGGAGACCTCGGATCTGGCTGTGTGCTTGTTCTTGGCGGGACCGGCGCCTGAGAAAATAAGCATGTGGCCGGCGACGTCACTGCCCCGCCCGCCCACACCTGCACCCGTGCCTCTCCACGGAGCGCCACAGTCCGCAGCGTTTTGGCGTTTTCGAGTAGTTTGGGCAGGAGCGGTGGAGGAGGGCGGAGGGGAGGGGAGAAGGGCAAAACGGGGTGAGGGCAGCGCGAGGATGGTAGGGAAGTGGTGAGCCACGAGGATTTCATCATGCAAACGGGCGGGCAGGTTTCATCAGCCCCTGTGCGCTGGGGTTCCCGGGCTGGGAGGGAATGCCTGGCTCCAGACGGCAGCCTCAGGCTGGCCCCAATCCGTGCCAGCTCAGCTTCCTCTTCCTCATACACTCGGGGAGGTCACACGGTTCCCCCTCCCCCGGGACAGAAGAACGTGTTTTCCTGCACAGTCCTGCCCGCGGCCCCAGATCCCACACTCGTTAAGTGGGCCACCCGCCACAGATGCAGGTGAGGCGCTGCTGGGGCAGGAGAGAGCCCTCAGCCCAAATCCTGCGTCAGGGGTGCTGGCTCAATGCAAACTGGGGGTGCCTCGGGAAGGAAAAAAGGATTCTGCAAGAGTCGTTTACATCCAAAGAGAGCGTCCATCCCGTCCCCTAAAACCCCGAGGCCAGGCCTCTCCCTTACTCCCAGGCCACCCTGAGCGGACGCTATTTGCCTCAGTACGCCCCACACCCACAAGAGGTAGCACACCTCGGCATATGGCCGTTCGGGAAGCGTGCATATCCGTGTGGGTAGGGGTACTCGGCTGTCTCTCCCAGGAGGGAACGAATGGGGCAGCTTGCAGCCCGAGCTTCGGAGGACGCACTCAGAGGGCAAGCAATGGGAAGCGGCCATCTGCTCGCGACCCTCGCTGCCTCTGTGGTGCCTTTCTTTCCAGTCATCGCGCCCCTCTGCCCCGTCCAACTGGCGGCTCTCGACCCCTCCCGCTCTGCCCAGTCAGCCCTCCCGCGCCGCCCGCACCCGGAGCCCGCGCTTACCTCCCGGGGTGGTGCTGAAGAGCGTGCCGCCAGGAGTGGTGCTGTAGTCCCCGGGCGGCAGCTGCACGCCGTCGCCAAGGTCCACCCGGCGAGTGGCCGGGATGGCCCGGCTTGGGGTCTGGCTGCAGCTGCTGCCCCCGGACATGATCTCCAGCTCGCGGTGCCTGCAGCTGGAGCGTGGCCCTCCGGCCGCTCTGGCCCCGCCCCCTCACCCCGCCCCGCCCCCGCCCACCCCTTCCGCCTCGGCGGCCAGGCGCCCCCCGGGATTTGTAGTTCCCGCCGCGCAGCCGCCGCAGCCGCACCCTCCTCGGCTCTGCTGCCGGTACGTGCGATCCTCCGCTGCCCAGGGTCGAGGCCTCTTCCCGACGGCCTCGGCACGCCAGTGCGGGCATCGCCCCACTACGGCCTGCCTCCTTCGCTGCCGGGACCCTCCGCTCCACGCTGGCTGCGCTGGGGTGGGGGCGGGGGCGGGGGGCTGGTGTAAGTTAGATAACCCCTCACCGGGTCGGGGGCGTGTCTCAGAGCTGTGCGGGGATCCTAGGAGGCCTCGCGGTTGGGGAAGGCCTGGTTTCTACCTGAGGACTTTGGGCCGAGTGGTCCCCTCATACCTCCCTGTTGCGTGCTTTTAGTTCCTCCGGTGAGAAAGTGGGGGTTGATCGGTCATTCATCCCTCACCGGTTTTTTGAGCCTTCATGCTGTGGTGTGAAGAAATAACCAAGAATGGGTGTTCCACGGCTCGGGGAAGGTGTGGGAGGACTGGTGAACAAACCACACTGATGGGTGATCAAAGCTAAAACTAGAGCCTGGGTGGAGCCGAGGGGTCGGACTTCGGCGGTGGTTGGGGGGCGGGGAGGAGTGGAGAGGGTGTGAGCTGGCCAAGAGGCTCCTTGTAGGGCTTTGAGTTGGGTACAGGGGCCCACACGCGGCCGCCTGACATTTAGTAGGCACTCCTTGAAAGAATGGATGAACGAGATGGGGCGCCTGGGTGGCTTAGTCGGTTAAGCGTCCGACTTTCGCTTGGGTCATGATCTCGCGGTTCGTGGGTTCGAGCCCCGCGTCGGGCTCTGTGCTGACTGCCAGCTCGGAGCCTGGAGCCTGTTTCATCTGTGACTCCCTCTCTCTCTCTGACCCTCCCCTGCTCACGCTGTCTCTTTCTCTCTCTCCTAGAAATAAATAAAAATATTAAAAAAAAAAAAAAAAGAATGGATGAACGAGCGAATGAGTCTTCAAGGACTTCTCCAAGGGGGAACAGAAAAATGCTAGGAGGAACAGAAAAGCCTGCTGTGTGAGAGAACAGTTTCTGTCACTGTGGCCACATCATGCAAGGGGAGAGGAGACAGGAGAACACTTTAAAACAGAAATTGGGGCCGGGGGCACCTGGGTGGAACAGTCGGTTAAGTGTCCCACCTTGGCTCAGGTCATGATCTCATGGCTTGCGAGTTCGAGTCCAGCGTCCAGCTCTGTGCTGACAGCTCAGAGCCTGCAGCCGGCTTCAGATTTCCGCCTCTCTCCTTCTCTCTCTCTTCCCCTCCCCCACTAGCGCTCTGTCTCTTTCAAATATAAATAAACTTTAGAAAATTTTTTTAAAAAGAGAGAAATTGGGGCCGGATGGCGAGGAGTTTTTTTTAAACTTTTTTTTTTAACGTTTATTTGTTTTTGAGAGACAGAGAGAGGCGTAGCATGAGCGGGAGGAGGGCAGAGAGAGAGAGGGAGACACAGAATCTGAAACAGGCTCCAGGCTCTGAGCTGTCAGCACAGAGCCTGATGTGGGGCTCAACTCACGGACCCACGAGATCGTGACCTGAGCCGAAGTCAGAGGCTTAACCGACTGAGTCACCCAGGTGCCCCTGTGATGGGTTTTTAAAATCATGCCAAGGTGTTCAGACTTTGTCCCACGAGGGTAGGAGATATCATAGATCTTTCAAACTGGGGAGTGACAGAATTAGGGTTGGGATTTTGTTGGTTGGTTTGTTTCAGAAAGATGACTGGCTGGCTATGGGTTTGAGAAGGGACGGCAGGAAGGGTCAGGCCCCAGATAGGAAGACTGGCTGGGTTTGGGCACTCCTGAGCTAAACTCTAGGCCTACACTGCCTGCTCTGGGGGACATTGGCCTCCTGTGCCTATGGAGCAATTGAAATATGGCCAGTCCATATTTACATGTGTAAAATACATAGAGTTCAAGGACTTAGCATGAAAAACATTTGAGATATTTCAATAATTTATGTTGATTACATGTTGAAATATTTTGAATAGATTGGAATAAGTAAAACATTAAAATTAATTTACCTGTTTCTTTTTACTTGTTTGGTGGAACTATAAGAAATTACATGTATAGGGGCTCCTGGGTGGCTCAGTCGATTTAGCGTCCGACTTCGGCTCAGGTCATGATCTTGAGGTCCGTGGGTTTGAGCCCCGCGTCGGGCTCTGTGCTGACAGCTCAGAGCCTGGAGCCTGTTTCAGATTCTGTGTCTGCCTCTTTCTCTGCCTCTCAAAATAAAATAAAGACTAAAAAAAAAAAGAAAGAAATTACATGTATAGGAGCTCCTGAGTGGCTCAGTCAGTTAAGCATCTGACTTCGGCTCAGGTCATGATCTCACAGGTTCGTGGGCTCGAGCCCCATGTGGGGCTCTGTGCTGACAACTCAGAGCCTGGAGCCTGCTTCAGATTCTGTGTCTCCTTCTCTCTGTCCCTCCCCCACATGTATGTATATATTTCTATTGAATAGTGCTGCTCCAGAATGAGGCAGTAGTGAAAGCAATTCTAAAGTTCTTCTAGGAAATTTCTTCCCGGGAAACTAAGCAATCATCACATTTTAGCTCTGGCCTTTACATTATAAGTCATCCAGGACAACATTTACCTCCATCTTACTTATTTAATCTTTCTTCAGTCATTCATTCAGGCCATAATTTGCACTGGTCATGAGGAAAAAGCTAATAATTAAGGAAAGAGAAAACTTTCATTGACATTTAGGTCAAAAAGAAATCCCAAAATAATTCCATAATTCTTATAATTTTAAGCTCAGTTTTTTTGTTTTTTTTTTAAAGTCTCCTGGCCAGAGATTAAAAACTAAAAGTATCTGGAAGAGGAAATGGAATATGTCTTTCAAATGATCCTATATATATATTTTCTTCAGTTGAGGTTTTTACAAATTGACGTAAAAAGTGCTAACATTCTGTGGCAAAATCTTCTAGTTCTAGTATTTAGAGCTCTCCACACCTTTAAAAAAAAATTTACCACATACTTCTTTTAAATGCAAAAACCAGAGTGTCGGAGAAGAACAGGGGTTTGCCCAAGATCACTCAGCGATGAAAGACCTGAGGGAAAACTAGATGGCCCAGAGTCCACCCCCCCACACACACCCCTTCCAGGCCTGCCCTGTGTCACCACACTAGAAGCAAAGTGGCCCAACCTCTTGCCTTGGGAAGATCTGTTCTGAAAGGGGGTTTGCTTGGTTGCCTTCCTGAATGTGCGTACTTGGTTACAGCTGAACTTCCAGGGAAGGCACCTGCTTAGCTCAACCCTTGCAGTGATCTGTGCACACAAGTTGGAGAAGTTTCCATCCCATCTTGCTCTACTTGGATCTATAGGCAAGGAGGGACAAGGGACCGATTTTATCACTGTAAGTAAATGGAATTTCTCTGGGTAGCCAACCAGGCACAGAGGTCTAGTCCTTAAGCAAGCCCTGGCCCCTCCCAGTGTTTGTCTCAACTCGTCTCTGCTGAGCTGGACCAGTGTGGGGTTAGCAGCACCAAGACAGGGTCCCCAGGAGCAGCTGCCTGGGAAGAAGGTAGCGGGAGCCAAGAGAGTGACAAATGCATTCAGAGTCTCTGAATCACACTACAATAGAGGCTGTTTAGGAAGCCCCTCAGGTTAGGGAATCCATTCCTAACATACTTGGTGCTGAAAATGTTCCCCATTCACCACTGGGAGTCCTTTGAATTAGCTAATGCATCCTGTCGCCAAGGCCCCAGTGGCCTCTGGAGGCTATTGTGTTTTCTTGTACAATAAGGGCTTCCTATACTTCCTGGCCCTGATCGAGATTCAGCCATTAAAAAAAAGACATGTTCAAAACAAAAACAAAAACAAAAAACCTCTCATAGATACAGAGAACAGACTGGTGGTTGTCAGAGGTGGAGCAGGGGTGAGGAGGAATTCTCAAAGGGGTCAAAAGGTACCAAAAAAAAAAAAAAAAAAAAAGACACGTTAAAGAAAACAGGCAGATTCTCCACTGACTAGAGGATAAACAGATTATCATTAAAAATAAACATCTACAGTGAGAAATAGCTTGGCCATTTCTTATCATCCGAGGCAAAGCAGAAGTGAAAGTCATGGTGTCACAACTGATAAGCAAGAAGGGGCTGAATGCTGGGGAGCCCGAAGACACGTGGAGGTCACGTGAGCTAACGTAAAGGAGTAAAAATTCTACTGAGGGAATTTGAAGACCGAATTGTCTTTATTAAGCTATTTGCAAATTGGTCAGCATCCCACTTAGCAAATACAGGATGCTCCAAGGATTTTTACAAAATGGAAGATTTTTATAGGAAGGAGGATGGGGCAAGGACATTATCAGCAAAGAAAAGGATTGTTACATCTTTTTTTAAAAAAATTTTTAACGTTTATTTATTTTTGAGACAGAGAGACAGCATGAGCTGGGGAGGGGCAGAGAGAGAGGGAGACACAAAATCTGTAACAGGCTCCAAGCTCTGAGCTGTCAGCACAGAGCCAGATGTGGGGCTCAAACCCACGGACCTCGAGATCATGACCTGATTTGAAGTGGGACGCTTAACCGACTGAGCCACCGAGGCGCCCCACATCTTTTTTTTTGTTTGTTTGTTTATTTTGAGAGACAGAGAGCACAAACAATGGAGAAACAGAGAGAGAGGGAGAGAAAGAATCCCAAGCAGGAACCGCACTGTCAGTGTGGAGTCTGATGTGGGGCTCAAACTCATGAACCGTGAGATCATGACCTGAACTGAAACCAAGAGCCGGTCGCTCAGCCAACTGCTACCCAGGTGCCCCTGTTATATCTTCTTTTTGAGGGGGAAGGGATGGCAGGGTTTTTATCATGCGATTACCTTACCAGAGCTGATCAGGAAATTTCAGGTTGACTGTCAAAAGGTCACATTTCTGGGAGAGGTTCAAACTACAATCGGGTTTTGGTTTGCTGCGGATGGAGACCAATGACTCCATTTT